TAAGTACTGCTCGTACCTTCTTCCCCCAAATACAACGAACGGTCTAAATTCAGCTACAATGACCGTACATTCTATTCGGGTGAAGAAGGTAGTACTCCTGTTAGTGCTGCTATTCCTGCTGCTACTGGCACTGCTGCTGCGGCATCTAGTCAGACACTACCGCTGCTGGTGCCGTAAGTGCTGCTTCTGGTAGAACTGCTACTTTGTATTGTTACAGTTGCTGCTGCTACTTGTATGCTGTTGCTGTTGCTACTACTGCTCCTGCTCGAATACCCTTACTGCTGCCACAACTCCAACTACCCTTATTTCTGCTGCTACTGCTGCTGCTGCTGCTACCCTTACTGCCGCGGTTACTGCAGCTACTACCCTTACTGCTGCTGTTACTGCTGCTACCATCCTTACTGCTGATTCTACTGTTACTATTACCCTGGTTTTACCACTACCCTTACTGGTGCTACTACCAGCACTGCCCTTACTACTACCCTTACTGCTGATTCTACTGTTACTATCACCTTTACAGCTGGTTTTACCACTACCCTTACTGCTGCTACTACCAGCACTGCCCTTACTACTACGATTACTGCTGATTTTACTGTTACTATTACCCTTACTGCTGGTTTTGCCACTACCCTTACTGCTGCTACTACCAGCACTGCCCTTACTACTACCCTTACTACTACCCTTACTGCTGATTTTACTGTTACTATTACCCTTACTGCTGGTTTTACTACTACCCTTACTGCTGGTTTTACTACTACCCTTACTGCTGCTACCATCAGCACTGCCCTTACTACTACCCTCACTGCTGGTTTTACCACTACCCTTACTGCTGCTACTATCAGCACTGCCCTTACTACTACCCTTGCTGCTGATTTTACTGTTACTGTTACCCTTGCTGCTGATTTTACTGTTACTGTTACCCTTGCTGCTGATTTTACTGTTACTGTTACCCTTACTGCTGGTTTTACCGCTACCCTTACTGCTGCAACTATCAGCACTGCCCTTACTTCACCTCCTCCTGCTGCCCTTCCTGCTGCGACTTCTGCTGCTACTACCATCTGCCGCGGCTGCTGCTGTCACCACTGCCTACTGCTGCTACCACTAGTGTTGATGCTGCTATCACTGCAGCGGCCACTTTTGCCACTATTACCACTGCGGCTTCTAAAATTTGCTGCTGCTACTGCCCCTCCTGCTGCAGCTAATCCCCTCTCGGTGGATCCAGCACAGCTATTGGTATCGCAGCAGCTACTGGTACCAACAGCTGTCTACTGCAGCTATTGTCACCGCTGCTCATGTTGCTGATCCTCCTGCTGCTGTTCTCCCTGCCACTGTTATCGTTAATACCCCGGCCGCAGCCACTACCACAGCCATGATACTGCGCACAGCTTGGGAAACCACGATGCACGGCCCCTGGAAGGGCAAACCTCCTCCTCCTTTTCAGGTCTCATCTCGTTAGTTGTACGACGGGCTCGAAATAGACATTTGCTCAACTTGTATTTCTGCATCCCCGCCCCTTATTCCCTCACCAAGAGGCATGGTCCAAGCGTTTTGTAGAAACCAAGGGACAGGAACACGAAAAACATAGAAAGAAAGAAGACAACGAACAAGCCCCACACAAGGGAAAAAAGACAGGCAGAAGAAGATGGATAGATGGATAGGCAAACGTATCATGTTTCTTCACAAGGCATTCACGATACATACCGTTATTCTTTTTTCTCCACACAACGTCGACCGTTTTCTCTTCTTTTTTTTTTTTTTCCAATGGGAAAACGGCAACCGTTATCAATCGCGCCACAATGGAAAAACACAAGAGGCAAAACGAAACGGTGCACAAGTGCGAGCGGGCGACGTGCGAGTTTGAGCACAAAAACCCGCAAAGATGTCATGATCGTCAATCTCCCAGCCAAGCAGGAGAAAACGCCCCACGGAACTCCCCCCCCCTCCGCGGAGCCAAAACCCCTGAACCTCCCCCGCAAATGCACATGCGGATAAACAAACAAAGGGCGTCGCCGCACTACTCACCAGAATGATGGACGAATTTTCTGCAAGAATGTGGAAAGATTCACAGCCATATTTTTTATTCTATTGTGCACTTGGTGAGTGGTGCGGCGAGGCCCAAGGGCATTAGCTTTCACCTTTCCGGACAGACCATCACACAATCTGCTAGATTGTCGAGAGAGAGAGATTCAAAGATTCGCGAGGTTGTCACTTCTTCCTTCTCCTCCTCCTACTCCTCCTACTACTACTACTACTACTACTACTACTACTACTACTAGAGAGAGAGAGAGAGAGAGAGAGAGAGAGAGAGAGAGAGAGAGACTACTACTACTACTACTACTACTACTACTACTACTACTACTACTACTACTCTTCCCCCTTCTACTCCTCCCAAGCTCGCCTTTGTTGAATTTACTCCTACCTTCTTCCCCCGAATACAACGTACGGTCATTATAGCTGTATTTAGACTGAAACATACCCCTAATACAGCTATAATGACCGTACGTTGTATTCGGGGGAAGAAGGTAGTCGCCCTCCTCCTCCTCGTCTTGTCCCCGCCCCGCTCCTCGCGACGACAAGAATGAGTGACAAGATCAACGGTGCGTGGAGGAGGAGGCGCAACGACGGCAATGAAGATCAAAATAAACTTTGGTAAGAAGCGGAAGGATATTTCAATGGGCTCGAGAGAAGATACGAGGAGGCAGATCGATATCACTATTCCTTTTGCAAATGGTTAATAGTATTAGTTGACCCCAGACGAATGGAGATGATGACCACACAGCTGAGGAAGACGTAGACCAGGACAAGGTAGCATGAGTATGATGCCTGAGGAGGAAAAGGACAGCGACGATGACGATCAGGAAGACGACAAGGAGGCGATGGTCAAGAGAAGATAAAATGGTGATTACGAGTGATGATCACGATGGGCAGGAGTAAGACTGATACCTTCAACCACTCAGACATCCATCCAAAGCAAAGACGCCCCTTGTACCTTTCTTTCCACTCCCCCATCAAACACATCGCCAGTGAAGATGGAGAGGAGTAGAGGTAGGATGAACAAAGATGCCGATGTGACGTGGCGTAGTAGACGGGAAATTCGCAAGCAAGCACTGACGACTTCAGTTTCTCTTTTTCCGATCACTTTTCTCCTCATCTTCAGCTGGGTGGGAGAACAGCAGAGAGACGCAGGAAAGGGGCGTCGCTATCGTCCTCACTCCCTCCTCATCTTCCTCCTTGTCTTTCTCCTCCTCACCCTGCGCGCCTTAGAAGACACAAGCTAAATAATTCTTTGAGCTTTTTGACATGTCAACGAGTTTTGCTGTACCACGGGGGGGAGGGAATATACAGTAATTCTGAGAAACTTCTTGATCAATCGTTTCGCAAATTTTTACAATCGTTTCGCAAACGTTTCGCAAAGAAGAAAGACTTAAGCAGTCCGACCAAAGTCCCCCTGACTCAAAAAAAAAAAAAAAAAAAAAAAAAAAAAAAAGGTCCCCCTGACTACAGCTCCTTTTTCCTCAGCAACCCACTTTTCACAACTCTCCCCCCTCATCGCCATCGGTCTCCGACTCCTTATCCAAGCAAATACTGCTCATCAGCACGTTCACCTCCACCTCATATGCCGCCTCCTCATATGCCGCCTCCTCTTCTTCCATCTCGGGTTCCAGCGCTGTCACGACACACAAACAGTGTGGGTTCCAGACAACAAAATAGCGGACTTCTTCTAGAAATGGATTATACAGAACTATAGTCAGCGCGCGCTGACGTCGTTCAGTCGGAGTTATCAGCCCATCGCATCGTCGCCGCGCACTCGCACGCAATCGCCTTTCCCGCAGCGGAGCGGAGGGAAAGAGTCACTGAACACACACACGAAGTGTGAGACTACTGCCCCGCTGATTTAGAACACACACACGGCGAGTAATACACACACATGGCGATAAACAAACAACGGGCTCTTCTTTCTTCCTTCTCCTCCCTCTCTCTCCCCCCCTGGGACCGAAATGGGCAGAGAGTCTAGAAGCTCCTACCAAGACGCCACCATCGATTCGATGGGAAAGCCTCGACAGCTCATGCCCACCTCAGGCAGTGCAAAGTGAGATACCATCATAGAAATCCACATATTGACGAGAGAGAGAGAGATTCAAGGCATCAGGCAGCTACCACCTCTCCCTTCTGCTCCTCCTTTCCGTCCTCCTCTCCCTCCTCCTCTCCCTCATCCTCTCCGTCCTCCTCTCCCTCCTCCTCTCCGTCCTCCCGCCCTTCGGCCGACCATTCTCCTTAGCACAGCTTCTTCTATGCCGCGTCCTTTTCCTCGATGCTTTATGATAGCGATGATACTGGTGAGAGAGAGATACCGGGGAGGGATTGCACCCAAGACTTCAAAGAACAGATAAAAGGAGAGGAATCGGGGGGTGCGGACGGATTTTTCATTGGCCTCCTGTTAATGGCTATACCAGTTGACCAAAAGGCGATAGAAAACGCTAACAAGGTTGAGCAGAAGAAGACAGAGGACGGACGACAACGATATTGCAGAGGAGAAGGCAAAGGGGGGGAGGACGGATGAAGATGAGGAGAACGCCATGTAACAATGATAGAGGAGGAGGAGCGGGGTAGGATGAAAGGCTGATTGGTAATGAGAAATGGGAGGGACGATGATCTTATTTTGAAGTTGTATTTCACAAGTAAGAGACAAATACAAGCAGGCGGTTTCAGTCATTTTGGCCTTGCTTTTTTCTCGTTCATCCTGATTTCCCTCTCTTCGGGCTTCATCAATCACCTCTGCCCGGAAGCTTTTCCCATAAAACTCGACCGAGCCAGCATAGATGCTGTGTCATCACGCCTCACGGCCACGCACGCACGCACACACACACACACACACACACACACACACACACACACACAAGGACGGAACCGTGAAACAACCAAAAAACTGTGTGAAGAAAGGAGGAAGCCAAAAGCAACGACGGGCGGTAGAAAGACGACGACTCATGGAAGAAGCTCACCTCTGCTGGCGTGGAACGTGAGGGTTGGCGAGACACCTGACGTACGAAGCGGTGTTTCCGAGAGTAATAGGGACTGCGACGCGTCTCGGTAGGCCGCTCGAAGTGTGCGACAGGAGATGTGACACGTTACAAGGACCGACTGTGACACGTTACAAGGACCGACGCATCGAAGCCCGACCTTCGTCTCTGCGCGACAGGCATAAGCGTGGAGGAGATCGGCAGCACGCCTACCGGATGGACCAGGCGTCCGGACCTGGTTGACTGGCCTCATGTCGGTCCCCCATCCCAGACTCTCCACTTGCTGAGCCTTGCATCACTGATAAGAGCCTGGCGTTTTGCTGCTTTTTTTTCCCTACCAAACCCAACCCGAACGTGTGTTATGCATGTAGTACTATTTTTCTATTTTATTTTACTTTTATGAGGATTTTTTTTTCGGGGGGGAAGGTGGAAATTAGGGTAATTTGATCCAGCGGCCTAGCTCAGTTGGTAAGGCACGCAAGTAGCATTCAGGAGGTCTTGGGTTCAATCCCCATTGACCTCATGTACCTTCCTGGGCAAGCTTGGCAACCGACACCTAGATATATGCCGTTGGTCCCCCCAAGTGGCATTGAGCAGAAACTGCTGATGTTCATAGGGGGAGGGAACCGGAGGGAAGGCACAGTGACTGCCCCATAGAAGAAGCTCGGTCCTGATGCTACAGGCTGACCCCTGCCGGTATCCCCCACCTGCTGTAGCAGGTATCGCACCTGCTGGTGGGTGCAGCTCCCGCATGCTCCCTCGTTGGAGGCTTGAGCACGGATGTGGCTGCTACGAGGTTCCCCGCAGTATTCGCCCAACTGCTGTAGCAGGTATCGCACCTGCTGGTCGGTGCGGCTCCCTCATGCTCCCTCGTTGGTGGCTTGAGCACGGATGTGGCTGCTACGGGGTTCCTCGTAGTACTATAATGACAATAAAAAAGGCCTGAAAGACCGTCCTGTCCAGATTCTATACAATTAGCCTTAAAATTTTATTTTATTTTTTTAACAAAAAAAGGGTAATTTACAAAATCCCCCATAAATTGAGATATATGCCGAAATGCCCCTGAAAGATGTGGGTGGAGCGGAATGCCCTTTTGGGCCCAATTCTTTGTGTTATGCCCCTTTCAGGCTGGTGTGCATATTTGCAATGTGGACCTGGGCCAGTCGGCCTTTGGAAACGTTGGCAAGTATAGGGGCATTTTGCAGCGTTGGATGGTACCCAATACTGCAAAGATTGGGGGGCCAACCCGTTCCAAGGGTATGTCACAAAAGTTTTTATTTATCAGAGTGGCATTCTGGTCTATTCACATTTTTTAGGAGCATTACGGCATATATCTCAATTTATGGGGGTATTTTACAAATTATCCCTTTTTTTTAGAAAATATTGCTGTTATGCCCCTCAAAGTTGAGATACGTCAAAATGCCCCTAGAAGATGTGGAACACTGGAAAGATCGCAATGCCCTTTTCGCCTGAATTCGTTGCGATATACCGGTGTCAGGCCAGGGCGCAAATGCATCCTGTTTCACCCGGTTTCCCTTACCCACACGGCGGACAACTTTGCAAAATACCCAGGCCTTGGGTGCGGCAATCTTGGGACTCTTCACCTTGGCTTCGCAAGCTCCATCCTAGTCAGTTCCTCCATCTTCGACCTCGACCTCCTCCTCCCTCGCCATTCCTCAAAGGTCTCCTCCCTGTATGTGTTTTGAGTGTGTGTGTGTGTGTGTTAGTGAGATAGAGAGAGGGAGGGAGGGAGGGAGAGAGAAAGAGAGAGAGAGTCAACCATGGGCCTCGCTCCACTACTCACCACATGCACAAAAGAAAAGAAATATGGTGGAGCATCTTCCCAAGGTTTAGCGGAAGATTTGTTCTCATTTTGCTCGTTTGGTGTCCGCCTATCCCCAATCCCGATAGGTGGACGGCATGCAAAACGAGAATGAATTTTCATGTAGAACATGGGAAGATACACTGCTATTTCTTTTTTTTTGAGTGAGAGAGAGAGAGAGAGCAACGACCATGGGCCTCACTCCACCACTCACCACATACACAGAAGACAATAATTATGGCGATATATCTTCCCAAGGTTTACAGAAAGATTCGTTCTCATTTTGCATATTTGAGGTTCATCTCTCTCTCTCTCTCTCTCTCTCTCTCTCTCTCTCTCTCTCTCTCTCTCTCTCTCTCTCTCTCTCTCTCTCTCT